AAAGTAGTAATACCACAGTGTAGAGATACTCTGGTATTAGTTAAAGTCCTGCATTCAAAATATCACCTAGTTGAAGTACAAAAGTATTAACATCAAATATACTTTAAAGTACCCAAAGTAAAGTATAATTTATGCAGAATGGTTTAGAATATCCTGGGGTCCAATTATTGCATTTTTTAAATTGTTTGGTGGAAACGTAGCGTCGAGAAAAACATGCACCCTGAGCGGAGCAAAGCACGCTGGTGAAACTAACAATGTGGAAGAAAAAAAACAAAAGACAAAAGAAAGAAACAATTGGAAATACTTTGTGTATTGCTTTGGAAATATCAAATTCTGTTGCTGCGCTGAGTCACGCTCAGAAAATAATTGAAATTTTAATCGAGAGAGACAGAATGAATGAGACAAAGGAAGAGATGTAGACAAAAAAACAGAGACTTGGGACCTTAAAGCCGGGGTTGGTAATTCTTCAAAGACGTTCAATATTTTGGATGAAATTCTCTTTACTCCCCAAAAGCAATCAATGAATCAATTGTTATGACAAAAGAAAAGAATCTTTTGTGGAAGCTGCAAGCTTTTACCCGTGAGTATGAACAATAGACAAGTTTGTTGTTGATGTTTGTAATGATGATTTTGGGGCAGTGGACTGGAGGGACGCCTGAAGGGACAGGATGTCACTGGTTATTCGGTTGGCTTTAAAATCTGGCATGCCCTGTCTTTAATCCGTCTCTAAATAGTGACTTAAATTATCCCCAAAAAAAAAAATCTATACGCATATCTTGTCCATCATTGTGTCCTTTACGGTCGACATCTCTGATTTGTGAGTAAGTGTGTTTGTGTTGGGGAGACATACGCACCTCTCCTTCAGGATGAACAAGGCTCCCAGCTGGATGAGAACAGTGGAGGCAAAAACAGCCACAACCTCCAGTCGATCAAACCTGGAGAGAAAAGGAGAGATATTGTCATCCATTGTGGGGCAAACCATCGGCAAATACTCCCCGACACACCAGTCCACTCGTTCAAAGAGACACCGGTCCACTCGTTCAAAGAGACACCGGTCCACTCGTTCAAAGAGACACCGGTCCACTCGTTCAAAGAGACACCAGTCTACTCGTTCAAAGAGACACCGGTCCACTCGTTCAAAGAGACACCAGTCCACTCGTTCAAAGAGACACCAGTCCACTCGTTCAAAGAGACACCAGTCCACTCGTTCAAAGAGCAGCGACTTTCAGAAATAATTTGCTTTAATTCGGCATGAATTCAGAGAGTTGTGACTGGATCAAATGTTTACCAGGAATCACTGTTGAGCTCAAATTGGCAAACAAGGATGTGGATAGAGACACGGTTGTTGTTTAACGTGTATGAGACTAAAAGCATGAAGAAAACACCAACAGAAGTAACGGGTTGTAACGGTTGCCGACCTCCTGACCTCTTCGTTGGGTCACGGGGTCAATCCTGTGGCAGTCTGTACAGGATGAGCCGCTTTGTCTTGGTGAGTGGTCCGCTGGGCTTAAGGGGGTTATGTCTGACATGGACGGTCAGTGATCCGATGGTCCCACAGTAAAGCACAATAATACCACCGAGCTTAGAGCTTCTGCCCCAGCTGTGTGCAGTGCACTGTGGATTCACGTCAGTACACATAAGGAAGAGGGTGAAGAAGGTGAGGACTTATGAATACTAAGAAAGAATATACAAAGCAACAAACATCAAGACAAGTGAGGCTGCAATTAAAGCAGAACTTTAGGTACTTTCCAAAAGTCCAGGTTTCAATTTAGCTTGTGCAACAGTTCCCCATTAGAACTGGGCCTGCAAGAATATTTGCATCAAGTAAACACAATACCATGCTGGCTTATTCGACAAGTAGAGCTCAGTGCACCAATGATTTTCTTTCACACAACTTTTAATGTGAAGTTGCTCTTTCCAACAATAAACAGCTTCTCCTATCAGAAGATGGGCTCAAATGTTCAATTTTGTCTGAAGGTCAAAAAAGTAAGTTTAACTGTCTCGTGCTGTGTCAAATAAATAATGTGTGGGTGTGTGAGAGACTAAAAGAGGCCATTTATTCAGTCGATGAGCAAATGAAAAGACACTTAGAGGTTAATAGGTCGTCAATGTTTACTGGGGCACACACACACACACACACACACACACACACACCCCTCTTATTTAGAACACTTGAAGCACAGTTTGGCCTCATTGCCTCCATGCTGCCGGGTCAAAAGGTCCCGCTTTGCATCGCCAAAGCTTGTGGTTAATCTATGAGGTGCCATATAGAAAATCTGCCGTCTACTGGATAGTGACTCCTATCATTATCATCACCAATATTGTGAACAACAGTTTAGAGCGGAAAAGGCCAACTCCCCCTGAAATAAAGACTCAGAACAGGTGACCTTATGTGACATTTATAAGAGAATCAACTATGCAAATGATCACATCACACTAACATTGTCATGAACAGCTGTTAGTAGAGTTTGCTAAATGTAACTTGGAACACTTACATGAGCAAAACTCACAGAAGTTTAGAGAACATAAAACTGTTCTTGTCTGCTTAAATAAATCTACAGTCAGTGTACAGTGTTAAGATTTCCATCAAAGGATCATTTCTCTCACACACACACACGCTCAAATAAAGACACAGGCATGCCTAGATGTAAACTCAACCACAAGCCCACACACACACAGAGAGGTATTACGGGAGCCAAGTGAAGCCAAAAAGCAGATTTCCACTTGATCACCACTCTTCCACACCTCAAGGTCAGGGGTCACCCATCAGCTGCAAATACACAATTTGGCCTCTCTCTCTCTCTCTCTCTCTCTCTCTCTCTCTCTCTCTCT